TAGTGTTGCTTATTGAGGTAGACTCCCCACGGTAACACGAGTACGGTTTAGTGTGGATTCAGGTTAAAGTCCCCACCGTGATATAAGAACATGAAACACTCAAATACGTTTGTTCCTCTATCCCCGTGGGGACTCATTGACATAATGCATTCCTTAGCCCCTTACCATAACCATCACAACTGCATGCCTAGCCTTAACCCTTACCCCTACCCCTAACCTTAACCCAATTGTATCCTGAACCCTTAAACCAAGTCTTTACCCTCAAAAAATGTCTCAGCCCGTGGGGACTTCAAATTTTGTCCCTAGTGAGAGGAGTCCCCATCTGTTAGTATGTATTCAGGTTAAAGTCCCCACCGGGATATAAAAACATGTCTCACACTCACACTCTCACACTCACACTCTCACACACACACACACACACACACACAGACACACACAGACACACACACACACACACACAGACACACACAGACACACACACACACAGACACACACACACACACACACACACACACACACACACACACACACACACACACACACACACACACACACACACACACACACACACACACACACACACACACACACACACACACACAGACTCTGGCTATGGGTTCTGTTTTTTAATAGGCAGCCAGCAGGGGAGAAAACACACACAGATGCAGGGCTTTAGACATTGAAACTATTGCTGTGTGAGTGTCAAGCCCTCTCTGCTGTTACGTGTGTGTGTGTGTGTGTGAGATACCCTGGGACATAGCTGAGAGCAAGAATTGACATCCCTGTCTAGCTTTTAGCATCTAAAAGAAGAGAGAAAATGTGTGCGACTGTGTAGTCTTATTAAAGTAAGCCCTCACAGTCCAAGTAAAGCCATTCTCAGCATCTTCATTCAGAGCTTCATTATTGCGCTGGCTTGTAGAGGAATGTGCTGTATTTCAGTATCTCCCTCCTGATTGAAGAGCTCCGGCTGAGTAGATGCAAGGTAATTATCTAATGGGCCTCAATGGAAGAACAGCTCCACTCAATAGCCATCGGTCAATAATTGTCAATAAAACAAAGAGAGTGTCACAAGATTGACCATCTCGCTTTTGAAATTGGATCCAGTGCTGGGTGAGAGGAATGTTGCATTGCACGAAATAAAAATACCTCTGGTCTCTGGGAAAATAAAATATTGTCATTTCAGAAGGCTAGAGGTATAGTATCACAAGACTAGCATCAATAACAAAAAAATGTGGACAATAAACTATTAGTAAATTAATATCCCTCTCTTTTTTTGTTCACCCTCAGCAAAACCTGCTGCAGCTAATTAAACAGAGCGGTCACAAGATGACTAAGAATGCTTACTATGTGTGGACAGTGAGTCCTCTGGGGTTGAGAGGAACATGAAGAGGTTAGAGTGGACGGATTAAGGCAACAAAGGAGGTGGATTTGATGAAGGTGTAGGCTGAGGAAAGAAGCTCTTCCAGCTGAGCCCCTGATGATGGTCTCTAACCATCATGGCATGAGAAGTGCCTCCTCTCTCCCCTTCTTCTTGGGCTTTGCTTCATCTCCCTCTTTGACACATTCACTCTGTTTTTATTTACTGTACTCTATCACCCCCTCTCTGCCCAGGTACTTCTTTGGAAATGTACCCTTTTCCCTTTCTTTACAGCTCAATTATATGGAAAAGCCTGTAGTCAGCACAGAGTTATAAAAGGGGTCATATAAAGTGTTTCCCACTCTGCTATAAATATAGTGTATGCTGAAGCTTGTCTCTTGTGACTATATAATTTGGCATAGTGCAAAGGTTCCCTCTGTCCATCCTTCCATCTCTCTCTTTCCATGCATTGCACTACACCCCCCCCCCCCCCCCCCCCCTTATTCCCCAGGCGGCAGGCCACATATTGACCTTTGAATCCTCCCATTTTTCTCTTATGGAGGCACTCAAAGCTTAAACAGAAAGGGGAAATGGAGTGTCTGTCTGAATATGTAAAAATGCAGGCACGCACATATACACAAATATATATGCAGGCACTTGGCAGTTGTTCGAGCACACAGGAAATATAGTGATCCTTTAGTGCCTCAGAGTTTTTTGTTTTCCATTTTAAGATTCGAGCAAGGGTTATTGTTTACCACTGAATGCTTGAGTCCATTCCTCCATATTTAATGACGAAGTTGTTTGTTCTCAGATCAAAAGATTAGCTTCACTGAGACATAACTTGATGGATCAGTGTGTGCTAGGGGCCGCTCGGCCGCCGAGGCCACTTGCCAGAATTCGGAGCCGCGGCGGAGAATAGCCCTCTATTGTGTGATTGTCAGGCTGGTTGGCTGCCGTGATGTGCACACTCAGACACGCTGGCATGCACGCAGACATTTACTGATGTACACGCATACAAACAGAGACACTTATCACCAGAAAGAGTCAGTGTCAGGTCAGCCGGCTTGGCCTGTGGACAGCGCTGTATTGTTGCTAGCCTCCAGCTCTCCTGGGCATTTAACAGTGCAGGCATTGAGTCGTTACTGGTGATTCAGGACCAGCGGGCCGCGCGGCTACCAGTGTGACCAACAACACCTGCCTTCACACTACCACACTGTTGTGTTCAAGAGACTTGAGGACCAGCAAAGATAAATCAAGAATATCTCAGTATTATATAAAGAAAGACAATAACTGAGTAACATAATAAATAAAAGATGTATCAATATGACGGACCGTAAGATGTACTGTATAATGGGGAAAGGTAAAGAACAGTGTTTTAACTTCTAACTTTTATGAATCAGTGGAGGACACATCAACAACAAGCAAGCAAAATAAAGTATTCCCCATGGTGAAATAAAGAAATGGGATACCATGGGGAGGATTTTCATCAATTTGTTCTGTTCCCATATCCCTATTGAACGTACTGCTTTTTCACTTGACCTCCACCCTGATGACCCCCACTCAGTGCCTGAAGAGATTAATATAAAGCAGTGTGAACCATGTTCATTGGACTCCACTATATAACTCTAACCACTGAGATCTTGCGTTGACGTTTTTGAGCATTTCTATCTTCCTGCCAAAACAATGTATACAGTATGTCATGAAAAGTGGCTGACTTTGACACTCCTTGCAGCCTGGCTGTTTGACTGACATATTTTAAGGCCATTCGTCTTACACAGCTTTGTTGCTGGTTAGCTTGTTAGAGAGGTCGTATATGGGAGCATAGTTATGTACATACATGTTTTGTGTGCTAGAGGTGCTGTCAGTCAGCCCTCTTTTAGTGAATCAATATGTCTTTTGTCTGCAAAAGAGCGAGACTCCACCCCGCCAGCCTCAGCCCACAACCAGTGTCTGATATGCAAAAGCACAGTGGTGTCTTATATCCCCAAATTAACCACAAGCAGCCAAAGAGCACTCAGTGAGTGACCTACTTTTCTGTCTTTTGAGCAGGTCCAATGTAGATATCGATGTGTTTCAACATTTTTTACATTTTGGTGACCCTGTCATTTAGTGATGAGTTAAGTTGTTACAAGCTTTTAATGTCACACTGTAAAGATTATGTATATTGCAGGTTTCTTTCTTCTTGGAAAATGGCAATAAAAGGCTATTGCATGTGTAGTTGGTGAAGCCATTTTCTTTTCTGAGATTCTAATACCTCAACTTGAATATCAGGGTTCACTTTCCCAAATTAAAAATCGTGTGTGAAGCTGATCATTTTTATATTAGGTATCATGTGGCTAAGGCACTAAAACAGAGTTGATGCCCCAACGTGACTGATAGTGAAAACAGACTTTTGTAACAACTAGGGCTGAACAATGTAGAAAAAATAGGCTGTCTAATTGCAGTTTTTTTTGACAAATTTGGAAATTGCGATACGATTTTCGATATTTGAGGGAATGATCATTTTTGCATAATTGGTCTCATTTTCAATGACAAACATATTTAAAATGTAGAATATGATGTGTAGGGCACGACAATATTTAATTTAAAATGGTATTTTGACACACATTTTGCTTATTGTACCTCCTCAATTTGAAAATAGCAGTACGCCATGTTGAGATTGTAGTGGGGATGAATACCAAAAAACATACTGTCAGGTTGTGATACCGTGTCACATTATGATGATGATGATGATGATGATGAAGTATTTTATTATTGTGTTATGCATGTAACTATACCAAGCACACATATAAACCAAATCCACAACAAAGTGACATTATCCTCTTACACAAGCGATGCTGGGGTCGTGTTTTGTTGTTTGTTTGGTTGTGTCATTAGTCATCTTTGTCATTGTGCAACATCTTAACTACGGACATATGTTTAACCTTGTTAGGTCTACTCTACACCTTGCCAAGTCTAGTGACAATTAGAGAGTTCAGCTATAGACCATTTGCATCTACAGAGGCATAACATTTCTTAGCCTTCACCCTATCTCTCTACCTCCCTCTGCCCTCATTTTTCTCTATCTTCATTTATTGTAGTTACATTCCAGGTTTGGAAAAGCTTGTATGTTGATGTTGCACTATTAAAATAACATGCAGCTAGATCTTACTTAACAGACTGCCTTTTAATTATGTGCGGGGAGACAACTGAGCCGGATTCAGTTCATGCTGACATCAGCAGGATTTCTACCTCTGGTAAAAATGCTGCGAGGGAAAATGTTCCAGGCGCCCCCAGACAAATGATCTTTTAAATGTCCCTTCCCTCGCCAATGTTATCGTTCAAGTATTTAGTAGGAAATTTGCCACACTACTATATCTATCAACTCACACATTGACTAATTGCATTGTCACTTCCTGTGTATGTGTGTGAGAGAGACATCCAGTGGGTGAGTGGCTGGTCATCTGCTACCAAAACCCTCCTCTGGTGCCCCGTGGTGCCAGTGTAACCAGCCTGCCAGTGTGATCCACACAGATCCACACACACACACACAGACACACACACACCACCAGGGTAAGGCTGAGCTAATGACTCATCTCTCTGCCCCCCCCCTTCTCTCTCTGTCTGTCTGTTCCTCTGTATTACTCTCTCTGTGTCTGTACAGGGGACATCACTCAGAAGGGCTATGAGAAGAAAAGAGGCAAGCTGTTGGCACCGTACATCCCACAGATACAAGGTAAGGCACACAGGCCTGCAGAAAATTTACTGTCCAGATCAGGTTTTGTCTTTGCTCTGGCAGCCTGTTAGCATAGCAGTTAGCATGGTGCCCTTGCAAGAGGGAATGGAAAGAAAAAAAGTATCCTATAATATTTAATTATGATGATTATAGGAGCTTTATAGCACATTTTACTTTCTTTAATAAAACAATCCTTATTACAACTTGCAGAAACAAGTTACAAAAAGAGGAAATTTGTACAAAGTTAGAGAGAAATTAGTATAAAAGCAAAGCCAAAGCAAATTCAGGAGACGCATATTTTTGATTATGATATTTTTGAGTGTGTGTAGGGCCCAAATGAAAGTATGTTTGTGCTAACCTACCAAGGCAAGGAAGACATACTGTCATGGAATTGAAAACATTAGGTGTCTCTGCTGGAATGATAGCTAGTCTGTAGTGTGTTTGTCTGCTGCTCTCATAACGCTAATGCTAAGCTCTTGATAGTATGTGAATATGTGTTTTAGGCAAGTTGGCTTGTCTGACAGACTGCTAATTATTTAGAGGAATATTTTGTTTTGTTTTTATTGTCAGTTTGTGTGTATTTGTGCGTGCCATTCTGTGTTAGAAGAGGTATTAACTTGGAGACGTCAAGTTTCCTATGTGTATGTTCCTACTTAATATGTGTAGATGACTTTTGACTTTTATGGAGCTAAATGCATAAATCAATTCAGGGTATTTTTAACCCCAGTCATGCAGTCAGTCAGTCCTAGTCCCCTTGGGCAAACTATAAGGCCGAGGTGGTTTGTGGTGAATCCCAAAGAGGAGTCGCTGTCTGTATGCTTCAGGCTTCTCTGTCCTCTGTCAGTGGCAGTCTTTGGTTTGGCCTGCTATCAGAACACCAAGCCTCAATGGAAACCAGAGTCTGGTGAGGACCACTCGCTCAAGGCTTTCCACTGTAGTTAGCAGGCCTGTTATTTAGCTTGGGCTGATCATCTCATTCATTCTCCATCTTTCTCTTGCTCTATGTCCCATCTTGTTATCATGGATTTATTTGTTTTCCCTCTATCATATCCTTTCAGTCTGGATCCTAACACCTAAAGAAGGGAAGTGATAGATATAGGGCAGAAATGGATAGGCTTTGGAGCAGTTGAGATTCTTCATATACAACACACGCCTCCAGCAGATGAATGAATGTGTTGGGAACTAATGACACACCCATGCAGCACGTCGAATGTATTTACTTATATTAGGCACATTTCAGATACAGCTGTTAACTTGCAAGTCATTAGCCAAGTCTCTAGCAAGTGAGACACAGCACACGTGTCGTCAGACTCCACACCGGTAAGTGTTATGGCATCATGGCATCAGACAGGTGCTAAAAATTCATCAGTGTTCGCTATGAACCAATAACAACGTCTGCTGTGACAGAGCACGCCTCTGATTGGCTCAGTGTGGTGTGTCTCTGAAGTGTGTTCTGCCCGGCAACCGGGTCTGGTGTCCTGGCTTGTTTTATAGAACTCAGAGCTGGGGAAACGCTGTTGTGTGACTGGACTGTCAGAGCAATTTAAGGGATCAGCATACAATATATTGATGTGTCAATCCATGCTCAGGGTATGCTGTGTATGTCAGACTCCATGTATTGACCTAATTGAACCTTGTATAATATTTGAAACTCATGTTATTGAATAGATTGAATTGAGGCGTGCATAAATGTTGCTCAGCATTTCAGTGTGTGTGTGCTGCTGCTGTCTGAGAGTTGCTGACAGTGTGGAGCTCACTGATCCGTACTAAGCTGCCACTGAAAAGCCGGGCGGGCTGATGGCTGGCTGGCTGGCTGGCTGGCCAAGTGTCTGACTGGCCAGCCAGCAAAGGTATTGGATCTAGCTGGCTGAATGTGGCATGGTAGAACTCTGTCCTCAAAAGGCTGTTTTCCAATGGGCATAATTGCAGAGGCAGCCACTCTGTGTGGGTTCATTTGGTCGCAGGTCAGTAAAGGTAGCAACATCACAGCATCCTCAAAGCTGTCCACAGTCTGGTCATAGACAGCTGCACCTTTAATTTTGGCATTTACTTTTGGATTTGAAGACTTTCTCTTATTATTTTCAGTCACATTTGACCTCCACAGAAGGATGTTATGTGTATTCATTTTAACTTTAACACCTTTATTATTAAACATTATAGAAACTCTTCTACAGTACTTATAGTTCTTATCATTTGCATCATATTTATATCATTAGCCATTGATAGAATAGCTTTGACTCTGTAAACGTTTGGTTGAAGTGCATGAAAATGGTTAGACTGTTGTGATGTTAATGAGTCCCACACACTCAGTCATTCTGCGTTATCGTGTTGAATCTGTTAAATATTACTGCTGACACCCGGCGTTTCCAAAAGTAGTAGGCATCTAACAACAGAAAAACTGTATCAAGATGTCTGTAAAAGCATCTTATCGTACTCATGCAGGGAACATAGGAAGTGAAGAGATAGTTTAGTTCTCAACTCACATTGTTGCCTTAGTACTTTACTGACACAAACAATGTAATGTATTTAGGTATTTGTTGTGCTGCCACTTTGATGTATATCTGTACAAAACATGAAGTGTTTAGGTATCAGAAATGTTGGAATAAATCTTTAAAGTACAGGCAGGAAACCAGCAGGAGGCTGTGTAAACATGGCAATAGTTTGTATTGTTTATCGAGACAGAACTACAGAAGCATCCTTTTAAACTTTATTCTCCTCTTTGTTCCACTCTCAGGAAAATATACCTTGTAAAGCTATCTGATGTATTGCTGATTTATAGTACAGATGCTGTTTGTTTGACAGTTTCCTGTTCCATCGTGTGTGAAGAAGTCCCTCAACTCTGCCTAAAAGAACTGCTAAGATCTTTCATAATTCAATAAGAAAATTCAAGAACATTTTGGAAGATTCATTTCTTTAGTTAGTGTGTTCATATTGTTCATATTAATATCACATGTTCATGTGTCTTTAATGTGCAGGACATTATATACCAAAAGATAATGATTTTCTGTCAATAATTAATGGGTCAAGAAGTTCATCTGTTGATGTACAGTAAAATTAGATTTATCTCATTTAGTCACATTTTACATTCTGTGTGTGTCCTGGGATAAAGGCTCATCAGAATGTCTTTCTTGATTTATTTATTTTTTTTCTTCACATTCACATTCACATTTTACATACTTCAAATACATCAGTATGGGAGCATGAGAAAAAGAAAAGAAGCCCGTGGTAGAAGACTAATAATAGAGCTCAAGCTGTGACCCTCTTTCAGGTGACAATCTTGGGTTTCCCCTCTGATGCTAACCACTAGTTATTTAATAAATCTCAAATGAGAATTGCATAAGCTAAAGGATGAATCACTGCCTGCGTCACTGCCTGCACCAAAGGGTTGACAAGTTTGAGAGTATGATAATTTTAGAATGCTCTAGTTAGAAGAAGATGTTGTCTTTTTGACATTCACGGTGCTTAATCACCTACTTTCTGTTACGTCTGTGCAATTTGCATTTGCTTCCTTTGGAAAGCTGCTGGAAGGCTGCGAGAGAGGCAGGATTAATTAAAGTGAATACTTTCTCAAATCCAAGCTACTGTATTAGAAGAAAGCAGCCTAAATGGGGATTACCATTAAGCTTGTGATGTCCAAGGCACATTCTGCAAAGAGTGTATGTGATCATATTTCTGCTATATTTCTGCTTTTGAGCATTAGAGGAAGATATGACTTTTGTTTCTGTCTTGTTATAAACTCTCCTCCCCCTGCTTTGGTCTTGTCTCTCTCTCTGCAGGTGTAGATCCTTCTCTGCAAATTGACAACAGGATCCAGGCCTCCTCCCAAGCCGTTCTCCCAGGTTCTAAACACAACAAGTCGCGGGCGGCCAACACACGGGATGAACGCTTCAGATCTGGTAATCATGCGTTCATGCTGCCTGAAAGTTTTAAATGCCTGGTGTTCTTCTTTCATGCTGTAATTTAACTATGTTGATGTGTTCTCTTAGATTTGCACACAGAAGCCGTCCAAGCAGCTTTGGCAAAGTACAAAGAGAGGAAGATGCCAATGCCCTCCAAGAGACGATCTGTGCTAGTTCAGTCTTCTGTTGAGGCATGCACCCCGCCAGGTGAGACCTCTGTTCCTGTAAACCCACACTGTTCACCGAGGGCAGAGCTTATCCTTTTCACACACAGCCTAGGTTTACGATTGCACCGGGCAGTTTACATGTGTTCCCATGAGCACTGGAGTGTAGGACGCTGACACTCTGTTGTGTCCAGTGATCAAAGCTGATGTTGCCAAGCATTTGCTGCTGGACAGAATTGTGCAGTCTGATGAATGTATCCATTCTTTGTGACGATAAAGGATTCAGTTCTCACCGTTGTGTTCCCAGGCAGACCTTCCCACATGAGTTGCATAATGGATGCATAATCAGATTTTTAACATAGTCTCAAAATGTCGACCTTTAGCATGCTTTTATAACCGTTTGTATTGTGTGGGCCACTTTATTTGAATATTTGTAATTTTACTGCATTCTGAGGCTTCTTTTTGTTGAGTGCCTTTGTGTGTTATTAGTTTAGCCCAGATATTTCCCAAAGAAAGCAGTTCATCTTCCAATCAGTCAGTGAGTATATCTGTGTGAAATTTCATAACAGAAAACTTGCCCGTCTTTCAAACACTGCAGTGGCTTTATCATTGGTGAATAAGAGTTAATTGGTGGGAGGCCTTGGACCCTCATGTCTTGGGTAAAGAGAGAGGACACAGCGGTGGAGCGAGTAACCGGATTAAGAGCTCAGACATTGGGGTTTGAGCAGGAGGAGGAGGGGGGCTCTCCATGGTTGTTTTCAGTCACTCTGAGTGATCTACTGTAATCTACTGGGATATGGTGAATAGGTAGGACTGACAACCACAAAATCACATACTGTACATATAAGACAGTCTGGGCTGGGCTCTGCTACTTTTTGAGGCAGCTGCATGTGTTGGTGTACACACAGTGGTATGGTTGTGGCTGTAGTTTTTTCAACATTTCATTAGTGGAGTTTAGTAAAATCTTGAGGAACAGGTTCCAGTATTGTTGGTATCTGTATTTAACACACATGCACACTGATTAACTTTTCTTTTTTCCATCTCTTATCTTGCTAATCTGCAGTGGCTGGTTTACATCTGGTCATACTACGTGTCTGACCACACCATGTCTGATGAACCAGTAGTAATGTGAGCAAAATCATTTCATACCGCCAAACCGGTCATTCAATACAATGTGGCATGATTGGATGGTAGAAGCCTTATTCAAGCAACATATGGTAAATGTAGCCACTACTAACTGTACAGTTACAATACAGAAAACATTAGAACTCATTCACGGAAAACCTGCAAAAAAACACCTTTTCATTGAAGGTCTTAAATTAGTTTTAGTCAGTCGGTCAAGTCCACAACGTTGCTTCTGAAATGTCTCAACAACTATTGGATGGATTGCCATAAAATTTGGTTCAGATATTCATGGTCCCCAGAGGACAAAGCCTACTGTCTTTGGTGATCCCCTGAGGTCTCCTCTAGCGTCACCATGAGGTTCACATTTCTGGTTTTGGCTGAAATGTCTCAACAACTATTGGATGGATTGCCATGGAATTTGGTTCAGACATTCATAGTCCCCCTCAGTATGAATTGCAATCACTTTGGTGATCCCCTTTTGATCTAGCGTCATCATCAGATCAATATTTCTATTCGTCCAGCACTTTGGTTTAGAACTAACTACATGCAAAACTAATGACATTCCCATCAGCCTCAGCTGTACTTTGTGTTTAGTGCTTATTAGCAAATGTTAGCACACACAGGGTAAACATTATACCTGCTAAACATCAGCATGTTGACATTGTTATTGTGAGCATGTTAACATGCGGATTACCATTTAGCTCAAAGTACCACTGTGCCCAAGAACAGCCTCTTGGTCTTGTTTTCAGTACTAGTAGCCAACTTAATAAATAATAAGTAAAGGTGATTTAATGTTTCTATTACATAGATGAAGGGCGAATTGAACCTGGTGTTTCCAATATGTAGGATGTCATTTGTATATAGTCAGTACAGTAATTGTCACTTTCAGTTACCAACCATTCTGATGTTGCTTCAGCCAATAGGACTGAATCGATTTTCTATTGAAACAAAGTCAGTGAAAACCAGCTCAAGCTTTTAAATGCTGGGCAGAAGCTTGTACAGGTCTTTGTTTGCTTGAACACAATAGTTAACTGGTGCAGAAGATCTCTGCATATCTGATCCTGTCTCTGCTTAGGTTTTCTCTCTTTTATGGTCTTCCATCACCGCCTGTCTTTCTCTGACTCACTCTTCACTATCTATTCTTGTTTTTGTCTGTTTATATGTGACTAATACCTCTTTTTCTCTTTCAGTTTCTTTCCCGCTCTTTCCACCTCTCTATTTCTACTTTGCATTTGTTCTCTGACCCCCTGTTTCCCTCTCCCTCTGTGTAAGTGTGTCAAGGTTACTGAGATAGGGAGAGAGATTGGAGAGCAGCAGAGGAATAACAAACAGAATCATAAACGCGAGATAGCCCCCACGAGTCTGCTGGATGTAGAGACATTAAATTTGAGCTTGTTATAATCAAACCTCCTCCAGCCTTCCTCTGACAGCCTCTGCAAGGCCACGAGAAAGCTTGAAGAAGGTAACAGTGATTTGAATAGTCATCAATTGATGGACTTGGTACTACGTACTGTGAGTAATTAGGAGGCAGATTAATCACATGAAGGCTCATTAGTTTAGAGAACATCATTAGGCATGTGCTGATCACTCACACAGGCTTAATCTCTGTTTTCTAAATGTCTGTTTCCCGTCCTCTCAGTGGATTTGGGATAAGTTTTCCATTTTAATAAAGCTTTGTTTTGCACAAAGACTTTAGTGTAATATTTTGAGACCTGTGAATGAGTTTGGCACTGTTACGATTGCTTCAGAGCAAGCACAGCTGTTTACTTTTTCAATGATGAATAAGAGTGTGACCTCTCCTGGTAATTTTAAATAGTTGTTGTTTATAACTTGAGTATTTCAATTTCTCAAGTGGCTGAAGCCTAAGCCCATTTAGCCCTTTCATTGCACTAAATTCTTTGCAGAATGCAAATCTCAGACTGGCCTTCTCTTGTGTAACTTCATGCCGTTGAAGGAACAAACATTTCTGGGAGCTTTGCAGATGAAGTGGAATGTGTTCGTTTTGAATGATCCTTAACTTGCTTTAAAGTTGTTCCCGTTCGGTCTACTTTTTGCCGAGACCATAAAGAGAGACGAGTAAAATCATCATTGACTGGGTCTGAGTCCACCTTTAACCTCTGAGCAACATCTTTAACCTTTAAAATACTAGTTTCAGTTAGGTAATATGTAAATGCACTGACACACTAAAAATAACTTTTTTGTCTTGAACATCCACGTTTTGAGGAGTGTAATTCAACATACAGTACATAAAGTTTTCTTTAAAAGTTCAGTTAACAGTATCAAGTGTAAACATACACTTTTGTATGGCTTGAACAATAAATATTTCTCTTCAAAAGGTGTCTTTGTCAGCTTTATTCCTTGGATTACTTTTAGTGTCTAAAAACACAACCTCCAGCCTCTTGTTTTCTCACAGCACTTAATTTTTTTTTCATACTCTCGTCTACAAAGATGAAACACTCTGGCCTGTCTATCACACTTCATCATTCAAATAGTAGTATGCATATTGTTGCGGTGGGTTGTATTTATGACTGTGTGTTAGCATCGTTACTTTTATAGGCAATCAAATATCACACGCATACTTTACCAGTGAGGCCATAAGACATTTAAAAACAAGCATCGCTCAGCCTAACAACTTCCATCTCCATTGAAATCATCTGGCCATCCCACTAGCTCATATGTACTCTCCCCAGTATGTATAAGCAGAATAATGTATCATCAGCATATCATCTAAATCCTGCAGTCTTCCATTGCCAGTTTGACCATCTTGGTTATTTTCCTGGTGACATTGTAGACTGCCCCATGTCTTTGTCCACTGTTGTGACGCTGCCCTGTCTTGACCTATCAAACACAGACACCTCCTCAGCGTCGGAAGACGAGGGCTCGCTGCGCCGACAGGGACGTCTGGCCACCTCCACGCCCTACCAGGGCCACGGCCACCCAGCCGTTGAGCACTGGTTTAACCGTGTCATCCAGGGTTCCTCCACCTCATCCTCCGCGTCATCCACCTCATCCCACCCGGGAGGGAGATCCGTCACCACCACCAACACCACTGTCCACGCAGCCCTGAACGCCAACGCAGCAGCTACCGCACTGGCCGACCTTATGGCACACACCCAGCTAGGTCAGTGACACACATGCACACGCCATCATATTTCGGTTGCCCGATCTATTAGTTCTTGTCTCCTTTTTAACTGATGCAGCGCTTTCATCCAGTTAGTCTATAGGTGAATACGTTTTGCTCAAAGTTAACCAAGCTCTTTTTACGTCCTAATGCTCTTCAGAGAAATTTTACAATGTGTGAAGTGTGGTTGTGAGCTGAAGTAGGAATGTGTTGTAGAACGAGGTAAAGTTTCCATGCCAAGCAAGGAAACAGTATTGGATGTTTAAAATGATTTCCTGCGTTTAGTATTTTCACTGTTCAAGAGTGCCGGTGGAAGAATCCTGATTTCAGTTTCCTTAGGGTAACCGTCCTCTAAGAAGCCTCCAGAAACCTGTACTTAGGTTTATGGCTTTGAATTCCTGCATCTAAATATACACATGAATCAGAGTCTGCAGACAGATTTCTTTACGTTCTCCATTGTCTTACATTTACTGATATCAGCAGACGTTTGATGCGTTCTATTATTCCCAGCCAATCTTAATTATTGTCATCTCAAAGGTGGCGTCTTAACCTATATTATGTTGTTCTGACTGATCTTCTGCTGTAGCTCAACTGCAGGCAGACAGCGGTGTCTTACACATCTGCTACAACCGAGGCCGTATCTCTCTTCACATACACAAAAGCACTTGATGAGGCAAAGACAAAGGGAACCAGCGTTTTAATTCAAGTCTCTCTAATTAGTTGTCTCCGTTTGCCATCTCGCCGTCATTCAGCCATGTGAAAAGGGCTCACCGCCACTTCCCCGTCAATGTGCTACTCGTTCCACGTTGTGAGTGTCACAAGCTTGTTAATGAGATTCAGTGGATTTATCTTCATCCGTCTCTCTGCAGTTGCAAAGTGAGATGGTGTCTTGCTCGTGTATGTATGTGTATGTGTGTTCATGTGTGTGTAGACATGTTGCCGGCAGAACGATATCCTATTAGGATGGAGCTGTCTGATTTCTGTCCAGCTTGTCTCCCCTCAAGGTTGCTGTCATAAAGTAGTGGCAGTGACTGGCGCTGAATGGTGCTGTAAATAAATCTCCCGTATTATCCCCGCTCTTTGGCAGGCCATCATACATAAGCAACATTTTAGGGTAAAATGAATGATAATAACAAACATGACCTTTGGTTTTGAAATCACACATTCGTGCTAAATGTAGTTGATGCAATGCACATATAAGGAGGGGAACCTCAGCTCTCAGGGTGCAGTTCTTCATATCCATGAATAACAGCATTTGTTGTGGTTGCAACAACACTGTGTTACCATAGCATTTTAACATTAATGGGTTTACATTTTAAACCCAGTCCACACTACCATACCAAAGCACCCATACTACTTGGGCACTTAGGTACACCTGTATAATCTAATGCAATCCAATACAACAGTTTATCCATAAATTCAAGCTTTACAAACCTTACTTTGTAGTTTGCCTTATATGGAGAGGTGTTTGTAATATTTTGGCAACCGAACACCACCGTTAACTACGACTTCAATAATAAACCTATAGTTGAATAAACACCTCTCTGAAAGTGTCAACTATAAAACAAACAAAAATGTAAAACATATTACCTTAATGAAGAATTTGTGGCAGATCTGTTGTATTGGATTGCTTTCAGTTGCCTGTCAATCATGCTGAACAGGCATCTTGTTCTCTGCAGATACATTACTGGCTGAGGGGAATGTATCCGCTGAATAGAAACATTCATTCATTATAAAGGCAGATGGTTAAAAACTCTCCACTCTCCACTTGCAGATGACAAAAAAGCTTTTTGCCTCTCAATCAAATCCATAAGCTGTCAGATAAGTTTGTTTGCAAGCTCATGAAGTAGATTTTTATTTAGTAACGATTGCGCAAAGTACGCCTGGAGTTTGACCTTTTAACCCCCGAAACCCCACTCATCACAGATAACCACTCAGCGCCCCCCGATGTGACGGGGCTGTCGGAGCGCTCCTTGATTCATGCGGAGCGGCCCCAGGTGGCCTCAGTGCGAGGCGTGTCTCGCGGCTGCAACCACCACACCAGCGTCATGGAGACTGCAGATGGTGAGTTTCCTGCTTACGTGCACGCGCACGCGCACACACACACACACACACACACACACACACTCCCTTTCCTCTCTCCCCTGCTGTCTGTCCCTCTGTCTTCTCCCTAGTCATTGTGCCTGTCAGACTGGCACATGCTGCTGACTGACCCTCTTGTGTTGCCATGGTAACACTGCACCTCTCACCCTCCGAAACCACCTTGTTTCTACCTTATTGCTTAATATGTAATTGACACTAATGAAAGCACAATTAGCCAAATTATTAGAGGTGATTTTTGTGCTCAGTCTTGTCATGTTGTTAGCGGATCATTGCATAAAATTAACAGCCTCCTAACATCATTCATCATTCAAACACCAAAGTCTAGTATGCACCAAATGTTGCCAGCAGTTTCCAGATGGGCCATCGCAGATATTGACAATTATATGCTGTGCAGTGTAGAGACGGGTAACCAATAAAATCAAACCAAGAGGATGTGTCATTACAATGCATAAAAATAATTTTAGTTGGTAATTGTTTCCTGGTATAACATCAACTTGTTTCAGTGTTTTTTTTAATCACATGACATTACCAGGGGGAAGAAAACAAATGCGTTAAGAAATATGTTTTTACAGTATATGTACTAAGTTATTTGTCTTGTCTAGGGCTGAAACGATTCATCGACAAAATTGATTAATAAAATGCTTTGACACAAATTCTTTGCATCAATGCTTCGTTTAATCCATTTATCTATACAGCAGTGTTTCCAGGAACATTTATTACTGTCGCACATCGCGCTTACCCTGTGAACACGACCTGATTATAATGGCACTGTTTGCAATAGCAAGGGACAAAGAAGAAAGTGTCCAAAGTATGGGATTATTTCGAGCTAAAGAAAACAACAACTCTATAACGTTACCGTCAGTCCACCGTAAAACGAAACTTTGTCACCTCAGCAACAGCACGACGGCACCTTATCAGAAAGCAGCCGGTGTTGTGCCAGCGGACCACAGACAAGGTAACAGCAACACCTGCGTGTGCTAATCCATCCTTCGTTATAATAACAAACAGCTGTTTTCGTGTGTAGGATCGCTCATTTCCCATTTGTTTTCTTGACAAAACGTGGTTTGGAGACCAGTGTCGGGTGACACATCCGTCAGCTCTTGTGTGTGTGTGTGTGTGTGTGTGTGTGTGTGTGTGTGGCCCTGTCACCGATCAGTCACGTAGTGTGAACGCAACAACGACTTCCAGACTGCCATCATATGAAGGCAAGTTGTGTGAACGGCCATCGGCCAACGCTGAATGTCGTGTAGTCTGCACGAGCCTTTAGTATAACTTGCATAACACTCGGGTGATGTTTGTGTTTGTAAAGCAGCTGTCTGGTTGTTGGTGTGATGTTTGCTGTATGTATATCTATCACCTATAAACGTGCGCAGCTGATCCCGTTAGGGAGGGGCGCCGAGGCCGTCAAGCAAAGTACTTTTTAAACGACGCATCATGAATCTTTGAAATAATCTATGGAAGCTTCGAATACTAAAATCATCGTTAGCTGCAGCCCTACTTCAAAGAGTTGCTATAGATGACAATCTGGTCAACCGGTCTGTAAAAACAGCGACAGTGTGCTCCTGTCACCCTTCCACTCCATTCATTCAACATGAGAGCTGAAATGCTGCTTTGAATTAATGTCCAATTTGTGTTAATCAGCTAGCAGCTAGAAAACTGTAACACAGCTTGAGCAGTGCTTTTACCTTCCTGCAACCCATCGTCCATCATTACGAATGTGTGTGTTGTCTGTGTTTTCACTGCTAATGAATGCTAAACCGGCCCACCTCGCTGACAAAGATATGGGGAAGGGATTTGTTAAATCTATGGATTTTTAAAAGATGTGAACAGTGTTGTTTTTATCCCTTCTTTTTGGCAGTTTGGTGTTCAAGATGCTTCACACCCACGCTTCCTATGCAAGTTTTCTCACATTGGTCATAAAAAAACCAGCAGAAAATCCAATCTTTGTTGTTATGATACAACAGTCTGTGTCTGAGCGCTTACTCTCACCTACGTTTGGCTGCTGGTAGATTTCTCTATCACACATTCACACACAAAGTTAGCAGGACTGTTTCATTGACATCCTGATGTGTCTCTCCTCCAGGCTGTGAATGGAGAAGTGAAGGATCCCTCAGTTTAATGGCTGGTAACTGTTCCTCCAACTCTTTGGCAATCTGCTGTATGTGCATTTGTGTTTGTGTGTGTCTGTGTTTCTACCTTCGCCTCCACTGTCAGGTCTAGCACTTGTGTGTGTTTTCCAAAAATATATATAAAACTACAGTGAATTCACTCTGTAGATTAGATGCGTGTGTGTGTGTGTGTGTTAACTGAGTATGTTGCACTGGCTTTCTCTTTTATAGCATCTTCAAGCAATGCCTTACCTAAACACTCTTCAAATAGATCATGTTGAAGCAGATTGTGTGAAAAGGCCTTCTTCATGACAGGTGTAACTGATCATTCAGGGTTATGAATAATTAGCATGGTGACATTTTGGTTTCTGTGCTCACACTGAGACACAGAGACTTGTCAGTTTCTCACTATATTCTGTGACACAGGCTTGTTAGCCTGTAGCCACACAGCGGGTTGTTTGATGGCGCTGTTGCCATTTTGATAACGACACATAACTGGCTGAAGAAAACATGCCGCACAGGAACTCTTGTTCAGTCTGTACTCGGATACTGACGCTGTATGTGTTGGTTTTGTGATGCTGTGGTGCATTTTTATCAGCAAATCCCACAAAAAGACCAAAACTAACAATGAATTAATCCTTCTAACAAGTATTGTCTATGTATCCAAAGCCTGATATAGCATCTTCTACTGTGCCATAAAGTTCTTCATAAAGTTTCTTTAGAGTCACTCCTGTCTTGATGCTTTAAATACTTTTTAGAGCACCAAACGTGTATTAATCCCCCTCTTAAAATAGTTCCTAACACATTGTGCTCTGATAAAATCTTCAATCCCCTGCTGCTTTAGGAAACTATTTAGCTCAAAATACAACTATATGTTGTGAACTGTTTTCATAGAATTACGTATTCAGTAGAAACAAATAAGCTTGGGCTTGAGAGCCACAGACAGGGTATGGAAGTCAAAAAGTATAGAGTAAGGCCAGTCTTGTTCTTTTTCTCCTTATTTGTTTTGGTCGCATTTTCCCCCAAATTAAACTATAGCTAGTGTTTGCTATAGTAATTTAATGCTGTAGATGGATAAATTATAAAAATCATGAAAACGTTAATTGTGGTTATCATCGCAGGCGGGTCCTAGTTTGCTGTTATTAATGATCAAGGGGGCTTGAGTGGGTGGGGTTCAGGGCCCTCAGATGTTGTCGTGTGTGTCTGGGGCTTTCTAATTGGCCCATCAGGTGCAGCCCTGACCCCCACATGTCTACTCCCGGTGCATCTGTCCCTACACGAGGAGACAGAATCTGTGTGAGGAGGCTTATTATAGTAAGATAGACCAGGCAAGCTGCGTGCAGCTGTGGCCTTCATCTCCTGTGGCTGTCTGGAATGTCTGACACAGACCACCCCTCCCAAACCAAGTATGAATTCATATGGAGGAAATGATGGCCGATGATGACTATAGTCTGCACATACCCATGTGCAGAATGTGAGGGGAATCTAACTGGACACCTGGCCTCTTCTCTCATTCTTAGTCTGTTGTTTCTCTCCTGTCCTGCTCCTTCATCCGTGTTGTCTTGACAAAGGTCCATGTCTCTGTGATTATGTTTTTAGAGTATTTATTCAATTTATACATTTCAGAAGACTTACATATATTTGGACTTGACTGGGGTACATTTAATTTCAGCCTCCCACAATTTTGCAGAGCATATGTGAAACAGACACCTTTTGAGACACCTCATGAATCACTTACTGCAGGAAGGACATCTTTGTTGCTAGGCAGCAGGCAAGGAGGCTCCTCACTTTCTGATTTATGTAGCCTGTGAGGATTTGTCAGTGATTCTAGCGAATATCTCGACTGAAAGACTCTAACCTTTGACCTCCAGGTGACTGTAGAGGACCTCGATGTCCACTATTTTGTCGTCTTGCTACAGTGTGAGTGACGGCTGGTTGTCCTATGTGTCTCATGAGAGCACCACACTGACCTTCTCTGTTTTTTTTTTTCTTATCTGTCCTTCCCTGCTCATCCATCCCCTTCTCCTTACTTCATCAATCTCTCAATCTATCTGTCACCATATCTTTCTTCCGCCTGCTCCATGACATCTATTGCCTTCCTTTCCATGTCTCAATTTCTCTCCATATCCTTGTCTTGCCATGTTTATTTCCCCCTACCCTTTTCTTTTCATCCCCTTCAATCTCATTGTGAAGGTGTTCCAGTCAACAGTCGTGTCTCCTCCAAAATCCAGCAGCTTCTCAACACTCTGAAGAGACCAAAGCGACCGCCGTTGAGAGAGTTCTTTGTCGATGACTTTGAGGAGCTTCTGGATGGTAAGTTGGCCTGAAAGTATTTACATTGCTTCTATTAAATCAATACACCTTGGGGGAAAAACAGCATGCCTCTGTCTGTGGTGTGATCAGAGAGGAGTTTTTCAGCATCAGGATTGGTTATTTGTTATTATTGTTGCAGCCAAAATAAAAATGTCACATTGACTTCACCACGCCTCACAAATAAACAGTCATGGTACAATTTTAGATCGGTGGTTGTTTTTTTTTGTCTGTTGGTGGAGCTGAGACCACCAGGTGTGCTAAGGGAGTGAGTGGTTAGGGAATACTGGGTACAGAAACACACACAGTGGACCAGCCCTGTCTAACCATTTCCTTCATTCCAACCAGCCCATCATGGGTTTTGGGTGGTACTCTGCCAGGCTGAACAAACACAATGAAAATGAATAAGCAGCAGGAATAGTAATACATCAGCAGGTAATTTTAAAACCTCCCTGACTTTTGCACAGAAACTGTGGCATGGCAAGCCTCTGTGGTTTGCTTAGTGTGAGCTGAAAAACCATGCAGAGCTGAAATGGCAGCAGGCTGAACACTATCGGTTCCTGATAGAGGTGTTTTATCTGATCTTGCCAGCTCAGTTAAACTGTTGTGAGGGGAGAATAGGGATGGAGAGACAGAAGTCAAATCAAAGAGCGAGTATTGTGTTTTAGGGAAGGGAAGTTGAAGGATAAGGAGAGAAACCTGAGCCTGTCAATAAGCCCTAGTTCCAAGTGTCTCAGGAATTGGTATCTGAGCCAACTAAAACTGAAGGACAGAACATAGCTCACCTTTAAGCCTCCAGCTTTTCTCATCCATCAGTCCCATCTCCTTGTCTTTCAATCCCAACTCTTTTGATTACCCTGCCTTCCTTTAAGAGAGTTGTATACTTCACAAATGTACCATTTCCTTTTAGTTCACTCAACCAAACATAGACATAGAGAGCGTCTTTCCCAAATAGCTTGGATAGCACAAGTACACCTAGGGCTGGTTCTACTTTGTTGCTCAAAATACCCATAAACCACCCTCACACTGACACCCCATTCTCGTCCACATCTATATAGTCCAGCAGCCAGATCCCAACCAGCCGAAGCCAGAAGGGCAGCAGATGAGTCCCCTGGAAGGAGAGCTTCTCGGGGTGGCCAACAAGTGGCCTCCCTCCTTGCCAGCCGCCTTACAACGGTGGGGCACAACTCATCCCAAGAGTCCCTGTCTAACTGGACTCGACAATGCTGGCAAACCCGTCTATACACTCACCTACGGTAGGCAACAACCTGTTTGTGATTGACCCAGAATTTACAATATCACCATTATTTGTGGGTTTCTTTGTAAAAACAACAAAGTGTAGTCTGTCTCTGTATACCTTATTTTGTAATGTGCTGTTATTCTCAGCCATTTTGTGTGTTTGTATGTTGATTTGTGGATCTGGGGTTGTTAAATGAAATATTCAACGCTGTATGTTCACCTCTGTAGGTAAACTATGGACCCGCAGTCAGAAACTGGCCTACACTCTTCTTAACAAGTTGAGCACCAGAAATGAGCCCTTGCTCATGCCGGGAGACAGAGTAAGTCATGAGATAAAACCGTGTTCAGTTGTGTATGTTACATTCTATGTTGCATTTTAGGCACAATATTCTGAGTGTTCCCTTACAGAAGGCTGCATTTCAGTGCAGCTTCCACCAATATGTTCTCATGTTTTCATTCTGCCTTTACAAATTCAATATAACTGGTGAGGGGAAGCAAATGTTTGCTGGCACACTATGCCCCTTGCCTTCTATACTTTATAACGTATCACACCATGACAAATCATGTCTTTCATATACCTGTAGGTTGCACTTGTTTTCCCCAACAACGACCCAGTGATGTTCATGGTGGCCTTCTATGGCTGCCTCCTGGCAGAGCTGGTACCTGTGCCTATCGAAGTGCCGCTGACCAGAAAGGTAAAGGCGAATACAAAACACAATCTCCTGGGAATATATGGGCATTTTAAATAATGTGTTGCTCTAGGTAACCAGTGAAGAGCAGTAGTGACCCCTACTGGACATTTAACCTCTAAATGATTGAAGAGGAGACGAGATGTGCACAGTTGTTGTTTTAATGTAGATTGAGCAGCATTATATTTTTTTATTTTTTAATCAAGTGTTTTGCAGCTCATACATCAGCTCAAACTGAACCTAAGGCATCCATATTAGTTACACAGGCTGAATATAAATGCTTGTTCTTTTATAAGCATGCTGTTGGCAGACGCTGTGCTGTAATTAATGAGATTTGAGTGAGGTGAAATGATTTGTAATTCCAGTCAAAATATTAGATCACAGGCCAACTGTTCTCAGGATTTAGAAACTCATTTGCTCACTCTGCCAACATTTTACCTCCCTCTATCTTTCTATCCCTCTATCTTTTTCTATCCCCTTTTCCTTCCTTTTTACCCTGTTTTTTTCCTCCCACCCAGTATCTCCCACATTGGTTTCACTTTTCTGCGCAGTATGGTTTGCTCAGTACGAGTCTAGCCATAAACTAATTTGCACAGCCAATCAAATATAAGTGAGTGTGTGTCAGATCTTGGGCTCTGTTCCTGCTATGATTGGGCTTTGATGCTCAGCGGTAGAGTTTTTAATAGTGATGGGCCGTCACTCTGCTTTTTTTACCTGGTGCTGCTTTGATGTACGATGCTCTGAGGTTTCTTCTTCGTCCTTCTTTCTCTCCCTGTTACAATTCCCACATTCCCTCCGAGCAGCTTTTCTCAAAGCCTTTATGTTCTGAATTTTATTGTTCTTTATAGTTGCTTGTTGTGCGACAAATAGTGTTTACCAAAGTTTGTCAGTATGAACTTCAGTTTTTTTAATCCTCTTTGGTCCCCCAGGATGCAGGAAGTCAACAGATTGGCTTTCTGTTGGGCAGCTGTGGCGTCACATTGGCACTGACCACTGACGCTTGTCAGAAAGGCTTGCCCAAAGCACAAACAGGGGAGGTAGCCACTTTCAAAGGTACAGCCTGTTTTATTTTGTGACTGTCTGTCTGTATAGTGTCATTTGGTTTGAACTGACTTCATGTCTCTGTCTCTGCAGGCTGGCCGCGGTTGCTGTGGTTTGTGACAGATGGAAAACATGTTGTGAAGCCTCCAAAAGAATGGCATCCTCCAGTACGGGAAGCCAGTAATGACATAGCCTACATTGAGGTAAGAGTAGTTTCATTGATGTTGTCTATGAAACAAAAATGGATTTATAATTAATATTTTATGTATTTTTTATATTTTGAGCTAATAATTGGTGGTTGCTCTTAACTTTTTGAATGAAACCGTTCAAATGTTTTCTCACATCCAGTATAAAACCAGCAAGGAAGGAAGCACTATGGGGATCACAGTGTCTCATTCTGCCATGCTGGCTCACTGTCATGCCCTCACACAGGCCTGCGGCTACACTGAAGGTGAGGAGAACACTCTTCTCGTTTTCTTCTCAATTACCCATACTTCATATTGCTGTGTGTTTTCTCCATTATTTATTCATTCTTCTGACATGTAAGAAAAGCATCCAGTTGATGGTGTTAGCATGTGCTAAAGAGAGAGCGAGGACGAAGACGACCACTGAACCAACTTTAGTAATGATAAAAATGTAGGAATATGCAAAAACAATGTGTACAATAGGCTTGACATTTTGGAATTGCTGTGTTGTCTTTTTCTTACTTAAACTGCGGGCTAGCTAATGCAGAGCACATTCATTGTATAAACCTATTTTATAATCTATGATACTATTGAATGTCCCCTTCACGTTGCTCACAGATCCTGTCAGAGTGTAATTACAGACTAGTTTGATAAATTCGGCTGCTCAACTGGTTGTGTTTTCTTCCGTCAGACCTGGGTCAGGTCTGCTTAAAAGGAAAGAGAATGTAAGGCACCTCCTCTCCTCCACTGTCCCAGTTTTGCTCTAAATAACTCCTAACTGCACCAGCAGCCCCTAGAGACTCTCCAGGTCTGTTTCTGAAATGTAGTTTGGTGCTTCACTCAATCCAATACTGCTGCAATCATGGTTTACTCATTATTATAGAGCTTGTTTTGTGTTAAAAGTTATACAAGGATGTGTGAATGCTATAGTGAGGAAAAGCAATGTTAGATTAAATGCGTCAAACCCTAATCTTGGCAAAATCTTCTTTTTGATTTGCAGCTGAGACCATAACCAACGTCCTGGACTTCAAGAGAGAAGCAGGATTATGGCATGGTGTTCTTACTGTGAGTGGTCCTCTGATAAAGCTAATACGAGGGTTATATAATTGGAAATAAAATATTATCAGTTTGCTGATAAGAGTCAGTTTTATCTGGCTGACTTCTTCCCTATGAGGGCTTTATCAGTATGCAAATGCATTCAAACTAATGAAGTCCTGATGGGCAAAAACATCTTGTGTCATAACTCAAGAGTTTGAAACCTGTAAAAATATTCTGTTTCTTCTAACATATACTCAATCCAGCTTTGATTCACTCGTTTCAAGCATGCCGTGGAATTGTATGACCTGCTGTGCATGTTTGAATTCCTAAAATGACAGCAGTAGCACCAGTCATGCTTTATTTATACTCTTAGCGGTAAGCGATCAAATCCTGTCGTGACTCTTAGCTTGTTTGCAGTGACATCATGTAGTTTTGACACGCTTCTGACATATTTTTGTGCTCATGCGATGCTTGTCTGTTCTGCTGGCAGAGTGTCATGAATCGGATGCACGTGATCAGCATTCCTTACTCCCTGATGAAAGTCAACCCCCTCTCCTGGATACAGAAGGTTCACACATACAAAGGTGAGAGGCAATCCACGTTGACATTTGTCACTGTTACTCTGCTTGCTGCATCTCAGTCCCGTGAAGAGAGACTCAGTAAAGAATAAACCAACCTAACTTCATCTAAAGCGTAGGGTAAACCTTTTTTGTTGCTGTTTTGTATGGAAAATTCTAGTAATTATTATAGTGCATTGTATCATACTACAAAGTAGCACACAGACACCAGAAAAAAATCCTTGGTAGCTTGTTTGATGGCGTAAATATAGTTAACCCAACATTTTGTTATTGTTTTTAGTGTCTTTAAGCCTTTAAGAACAAGTTGGACTTTGTCGTAACAGTTGTAACTCTCACTGCACGTTTAACAGTGGTGGATTGATTAAAGCAGTTTGTTTGACTCATTGATTTCTAGTTCAGTTTTATTAGCCACGTTGAGGTTGAAGACAGAAGGCCTGCCGTACTGAATAAAATTCATCTTCTCTCTGGTCTGAGCTTTGCTGAGTCACCTGTTGGCAACCGGGTCAGACTGTGCTGCTATTTGCTGTCAGATTATGTGATCTGTGATTGACTGTCAAGCTAGATGAAAGAGGTGTTGATTGGGTGATTCTGTTGTGAGCCCGTCTCTTTGTCTTTGTGTCCCCCTGCACAGCGCGGGTCGCAGTGGTGAAATCGAGGGACATGCACTGGTCTCTGCTGGCCCAGAGAGACCAGAGGGACATCAGCCTGAGCTCACTGCGCATGCTCATTGTAGCTGACGGAGCTAACCCATGTGAGTCCATCTGCAGATTCTCATTTAATAAAATAACCTTATAAAAACACCCTGAAGCCACAAGAGATTGTCATTGATTTGTTTTGTTTGTGTTTGCTTGTATAACTGTTTGACTGGCTGTGTGTGGATGTGTGTTACCACAGGGTCGATATCTTCCTGCGACGCATTCCTCAACGTGTTTCAGGCACGTGGACTGCGACCTGAGGTGATTTGTCCATGTGCAAGCTCTTCAGAAGCCATGACTGTCGCCATCCGCAGGTGGGCTGCTGTTATTGCACCATATAAGAACAAAAGGAACCTGCCCCCACTTTGCATTTCTGTGCTATTATAGTACATCACGCTGCGTTTGCATCCTGCAGGGAAAGGAGAGGGATTTGTGCTTCTTTAACAGCTTTCAGCTGATGACTGGGCTCAGCCATGGAGAAGGATTAGGATGACAGACAAACTAAGAACACATGCTTCAAATAGGCAAACTGGCTCTATTTTTAAAATGAGAAATGCCGTACTTGTGAAAAATATGTGAGAGTCTGTATCTGTAAAATTCATATGGACGTGACATTCTACGAAAACCATATATGTGTCAGCCCTCTAAGCCTTATATTTTGTTTGCCATGAAAGGCAGAGAAAATGAAGAGGAATCAGTGACAGTGTTGGTTTCTGACAACCGTAGATGTCTTTAACTGCAAGTCTTTCCATGTGTGTCACTGTGTCCAGTGATAAGTGTAATTGTAATACTGTTTGTGTCCCACAGACCTCCAGAAATGGGTGTCCCTCCTCCTGGCAAGGCGGTGCTGTCTATGGGTGGGCTGAGCCACAGCGTGATCCGTGTGGACACAGAGGAGAAACTCTCTGTTCTTACAGTGCAGGATGTGGGACAGGTCATGCCTGGAGGTACAGTACACTGCGCTGCATATTAACATTTTGCTGCCGTTAACGAGTAAAATGCTGAAGATAAAGATGAAAGAGTTTCATAGTCCCCAGAGACTGCAAGTGATTAGATCAAATTATGTAGGATCTTGCTGAAATACTAAACAAAAAAACTATTTTGACATCTACTATGAATGATATTTCATTGTTCCTAATGTCACACCCACCTGTCATCACTGTGTGTCTCCAGCTGTGGTTTGTGTGGTGCGGGTGGAGGGGACACCCTATCTCTGTCAGACAGATGAGGTTGGAGAGATCTGTGTGAGCTCAGGTAGCACGGGCGTAGCTTATTACGGCCTCCCAGGGATGACCAAGAACATCTTTGAGGTTAGTGTCTTATTTCTGTTACTGTTCAGTTGTGACACGTTTTGCTATTCATTTCTTTAAATACTGTATTTATAAATGTGTAATATCTTTGCATGTTATCCATACTGGAAAAACCTCGTTGTCAGAATATTAAATGATCAGGAGCAGGAAAGTTATCTTTAGCTTGGTGATTGGTTGCATTTTTGACTAAAGAAAGACTGAAGAAAGATTTCAATCCAAAGTTTACAAAATATGTCAACACACGCAAGTGGCACGCTGTGATAACACTATATTTAAACCCTTTCTCAAATACAGTGGGTGAATTTAATGTATTGTTTACATTAAAATGAATTTTCAAAATAATTTCTAAAGCTAAGCTAAAACTCTGAAATGACCAGTTAGTGCAATTCAACCTCAGCATTATTCCACAGTGTTTCTTAAAAAAGATTTATTGCCAAGTGAATCCAGAGTGCAAAGGCTTATTTTAGTTTTTTTTAGATTATTATAACATTATTTTAAATTGTGGCAATGAACATTTATTGTCCTTCATCCATGAATGTGTGTTTTTGACAGTGTTGTGTCTCGTTGCAGACCATACCAGTAACATCATCTGGGATTCCCATCAGTGACAGACACTTTACCAGGACCTCACTGCTGGGCTTTGTGGGGCCGGTAAGTTCCACCTCACTAATGTGCAGTATTAACCTAACTTTGATGTCTCTCTTATAGCATTACAATAGTCCTGGTTTAAACGTGAGCTCTCAAAGACTTCCCAGTTGTAGTTCTGCAACACATGCTACTTAAGGACAAATCTGCTTAAACCTCAAATAGTCTTAAATAGTCATAAATAATCAATTCAGTTTCATATCCTTTTGATATTCTCAATTTTACTAAACTGGTAAAGGTTCAGTTCTCTGGTCAAGTCATGCAGATAGTTTCAGGTTTACGTGCTCAGGGGTTGAGAAATATTATGCCTCTCAGGCTGCTCCCCGTACATTAGTGGAAGGGAGGAAAATGGAATTTCATTAAAGCCAAAATGACATTTAAAAATAAATTCAACTGCAGTGCGTCTTTCCAGAAACAATATCACTGCAGTTACTTTCTCTGTGGACAGTTTTCATAGGGGCTGTTTCTCCAGCAGTATATACTGTAGTTCCAAAGAAAACTGTGGACAGAGAGATGTGTTTATTTAGAAACGTAGTCACATTTTTACACTTTAAAATCAGTGAAGAAGGAGAAAATCAGATTCAATACACCTGACCTGTATAGCTGTCACAAGCTATTTCATCCAGGACCAGACAACAATGACTGAAGCAGAAATTGGAGGATGGCTCTGCCAGACTAATCATCAGTCAACAAATGGTGATGCTTTTTATTCCTGAGCTAAAAGCAGAGTTCTTTTGCCTTTAAGGACATCGCAGAGAGAGGTTGATGATAATTTGCAAATCCCTAGTAAACCTTTTGAGATGCTAGCTGTATGGATGCAGACCGTACTTTAGATTGGGTAAAGACCTACCCATCTAACTGTATGTGCTTTGTGTTTCCCAACAGGACAGCCTTGTGTTTATTGTGGGGAAGATGGAAGGGCTGATGGTGGTCAGTGGGCGGAGACACAATGCTGATGACGTGGTTGCCACAGCACTGGCAGTGGAGCCCATGAAGTTTGTGTACAGGGGGAGGTAAACTTCTCTACATATCTGTTATCTCTTATATCGAGTCTGTCTTATCTGCACTGTTTTCTAACTCTCCACTGACACCAGCAGCTGAGCAGTTTGATTGGATGAGTATAGTCCAGCTGTAACAGTATTTTTAATGTTGTGTGTTCCAGGATAGCAGTGTTTTCTGTGTCGGTGCTGCATGACGAGAGGATCGTTGTTGTGGCAGAGCAGAGGCCAGACGCCTCTGAGGAAGACAGCTTCCAGTGGATGAGCCGCGTCCTTCAGGTGCTCAGAGTGCTCTGTCTTTTCCACATCTTACACCTTAGTGTGTTATTTTAGCAAGTATAAATCAGGTATTTATTTAAATATTACTTTTCTACAGCATGTCACAAGGTTTTCAGTTGTCTATCTTCCAGGAAATCATTGGTTTCAGTACATGTCAGTTATACTATATGAAAATAAACTCGCAGAATCTTCAACCTTCCTTTAATTTAATTTATAATTCACAAATCTGGTATGTTTCAAGCATCTTTGAATGAATTAAGAAAGGTGCTCAAGGACGCTATTGCTACACAGCTTGACGATACAAGATCAGTCAAGTCGTGTTGCGTGGTTTTCGAAAATTGTAATTAGAGTGAAGTATTCATGGTTTGTGGTTAATGTGGTTGAAAAATACACAACCACTGTTATGGTCCCTACACATGCAAAAAACGTGATAAATATAAAAACAAGAATAATAAAAAATGAAAACATCCCCTAGGGTGCTTACTCAAAATTAATATTAAACTTTTTGGGGCATTATTTGCTTTTATTGGATAGTGACCGGTAGAGACGGACAGGTAATAGGGAGATAGAGAGGGGTATGCAACAAAGGTCACCAGAGGGAATCAAACGGGTAATGGTTGCAACAATGCGGTCATGTGGCATGAGCAGTAATCATTCAGCTATCAAGGTGCTGCATCATGTTGTAATTTTTTTCATGTTGTAAAATTAAAGCAACTTCTTCTGAATTACCTGACAGCTTCACTGATATCCATTGGCTGACTCTGTTTTTGCGTGCATTACCTTTATGTTTCAGGCCATAGACAGCATTCATCAGGTCGGGGTGTACTGCCTGGCCCTGGTGCCTGCCAACACACTTCCTAAGGCTCCCCTGGGAGGAATCCATATATCTGAGACCAAACAGCGCTTCCTGGAGGGCGCCTTGCATCCCTGCAACGTCCTCATGTGCCCTCACACATGTGTCACCAACCTGCCCAAGCCGAGACAAAAACAGCCAGGTAGAGCACCAGATGTCCCAGCATGGACCAGGTTTAGAGACAAATGTAGCATGAAGACGCATTTACCTAATTTCTTCTTATTTGTTTGTATTGCTGTGCTTATTTTTATGTTGATATGAATGTTGGCCCTGATTTCACTGACATGTGTGACGACATTGATGAATGTTGTTGTGCTGGACAGAGGTCGGTCCTGCTTCTATGATAGTGGGCAACCTGGTGGCAGGAAGAGGATAGCACAGGCCTGTGGGAGAGACGTGGGCCAGCTAGAGGACAATGACCAGGCACGTAAGGTAGATAGTCATCCTCATTTCACCCACTCATCACTTCCACACATACGCTGCAGACACAGGTAAGGATCTGAAATACAGGCAGCTGATTGAGATGACATGGTGTAATATACTGCACCCCACCACATCTGTCATTCCTTCATTGCAAAAACCCACCTCGTGCCACCATGCTTTACATTCTTTGTGTAGTCATTCATCAATGTGTCAGTTTGTGTTTGACTTGGCTGTGTGTTACTCTCAATTCTCTGTAGTTAAACTTATGTGTCCCTCTCCCCTGTAGTTCCTGTACATTCAAGACGTGCTGCAATGGAGAGCTCAGGCCACTCCAGACCATCCTCTGTTCCTTGTTCTCAATGCTAAGGTACTGCCTTTTTGTCACGGTGTGTAGATTTGAGTTTTGTGATGGCGACACATATTGTGATATAGTTAACTTCCTGGAAATTCAGCTGAGAAACTGTTTATAGATAAAACAACCACAACAATAGTTATCTCTTTTTGGCTAATTCAGTTTAATGCCTGATCAATCAAACAAGCATAACTGTACTACTAAGTGGTTTGCCACATTGCCTGCAAGGTCCTAAAACAACAGGAAATGTTAAAGTTATAATATATAATTAATTATAATTGCTATACTGAATGGTCATGATTGCATTCCTTCTTGTTATGTTATATTCAAACTTTGTGATTTTGCTGCAAACCACTTTGGCAACATTGTTTAACTTAAACATTAATGCCAATAAAGCATTCTGAATTGAATTGAATTAAAGTGAAACCTTAATAGAAATAGAAATCTCTATCGGCTGATGAATCATAAGGCTGATGAAGAATAGGCATTGTCCTTGAACTTATAACTGTAAAAAATAGCCGTGCAGATGAATGTATCTTGCGCTTGTGTCTTTTACTCTTTAGGGCACGGTGGCTAGCACCGCTTCCTGTCTGCAGCTGCACAAGCGGGCAGAGCGGGTGGCTGCAGCTCTGATGGGACGCCTCAACACTGGAGACCATGTAGCACTCGTCTACCCACCAGGTTAGAAGAGCTACTTCTGCTGTGCTACTTGTCCTAGCAGTTCTGCTCATTAGTGTCACAGCTATATCTTTTCTGTCCCTGTCTTCAGTCTGTCTATTAATCCTAATCACAGACCAGAACAGACTGAGGCTCTCAATAAAGTTCTTAATATTACTGTCAAGCTTATTTTATTGTATTTCCATTGTTCGTCATTTCATAAGCTACAAGGTGAATATAAACATTTACATGCAGGAATCGACCTGATTGCCACCTTCTACGGCTGCCTGTACGCTGGCTGTGTGCCGGTCACTGTCAGACCCCCACATCCCCAGAACTTGGCGACCACCCTGCCCACCGTCAAGATGATTGTTGAGGTAACAGAGAGTCTGCTGACCTGTGTATAAATGCTAATTCAGTCCACCTTTGCACAGTTATTACAATCATTAAACCATGTAGTAGTAGTATTAATACTGTGGTATCTGTGGGTTAAAGGTCAGTAAGTCGGTGTGTATCCTGACCACTCAAGCAATAATGAAGCTGCTGAAATCCAAAGAGGCTGCTGCTGCTGTGGACATAAAGAGCTGGCCCATGGTGCTGGACACAGGTGAATTACATATACACAGCCAACACAGCGACTCTCACAGACTCCACAGTAACTCTGTGATTTCCATCACAGACAGCTTCCGGCTTTTAAAACTCTCCCTCTGTTTATCCTCTAGATGACCTCCCCAGGAAGAAGAGCCCTCAGATGTACAAGCCCCCGACCCCAGAGATGTTGGCTTACCTGGACTTCAGTGTGTCCACCACAGGCATCTTAGCAGGGGTCAAAGTATGTTGAATGCTGAAGGACACACGAGTCATCTGGTTGTAGCTAATTAATGAATTAGTTGTCAACTATTAAATGACTGAATGAACACTATTTTGATAATCAATTCATCTTTGGTTTGTGGACAAAACAACACATTTAGAACAGGTCATCTTGGACTTTGGGAAACACTGATTGACATTAACCACCATTTTCTCACATTTTATAGACCAAGCAACTGACAATGCAAATAATCGTTAGTTGTAGCCATAATTTGTTTAAGCGAGCAACAGTCTGATTTCTTATGCTGCTTTTAAGCAGCCATCCACACATTGCTGAGGTGTCCATGAGTGAAATAATGGATCCCTAAAAGCTTGAGGAGTTGTTGTCATGTGTGTCTCTGTGTCATATCGTCATCTCTAGATGTCTCACGCTGCCACCAGTGCCTTGTGTCGCTCCATCAAACTGCAGTGTGAGCTCTACCCATCCCGGCAGATCGCCATCTGTCTGGATCCCTACTGCGGCCTGGGCTTCGCTCTCTGGTGCTTGTGCAGGTAAACCAGCAGCTCCAAACATATGCCAGTGAAATCGTTAAAGAGCCTGTGCCAGTGGCTGAAGCAAACATTGAGTTTTCTTCTGGTGGAGGCTTTTTTTCTCTCTGTCTTCCCACTCAGCCTCTGCATGTGTGCTTCTGGTTTCAGCGTGTACTCGGGCCACCAGTCGATCCTGGTTCCCCCTCTGGAGCTGGAGAGCAATGCGTCTCTGTGGCTTGCGGCAGTCAGCCAGTACAAAGTGCGCGTCACCTTCTGCTCGTATTCAGTCATGGAGATGTGCACCAAGGGCCTGGGTTCACAGACGGAAGCATTGCGGGTCAGTTTGTCTCCTCATTTGCTGAGTGGTTTTGCTTGGGAAGCGACAAACTGCAGTATTTTCTTCCACAAAATTTAAGGGTTTTCTTCAATTACTCCTTTTCCCTGTGGTGCAGTTTCCACAGCGCCGTGATTATCAAGACAAAGTCAGGGCACTGAGAGGTGAAACATTTCACTCCTCTGTATCTTTGTGCTGATTATTGTCTGCAGCACTTGAAACAGGGATTTTTTATAGATCATGTCTGTGGTTTAATAAGTAGAATCTATCCAATAAAAACTTTCTATTAGTATGAAAAACTCCTAGTCTACATGCAAATTGAGAAAGAATGTTACAATATTACTGTAATTGCAGTGTGTTTTCACACTTACAATTTATTTTAAGTTGTTACTTTTTGTTGATCCAACTCGTCTTTTTTCCATCTCCAGTTGCGAAATGTGAACCTGTCTTGTGTGCGTACGTGCATGGTGGTGGCAGAGGAGAGGCCCCGCATAGCACTCACTCAGTCCTTCTCAAAGATCTTCAAGGACTTGGGCCTTTCACCACGCGCCGTCAGTACCACCTTCGGATGCAGGGTGAACGTGGCGATTTGTTTGCAGGTAAGCAGCTGGTGAAGGAGGAGGAAGACGAGGGAATTAATCCTGTAGACTGGAGTCAAGAAACCGACAAAAGGCAGTAAAAAGTTATCAGATGAGTCAAAAATATAATTGAATCCATTTTCATTATAGTAATATTGTCAGTTAAAATGGGGGGCAATAAGAAATGTAAAGCTCTTTTTTTCATTTAACCTTCAGTTAGTTGGTAACAAAGCAAAAGGCAACTCCTGTGTGGCACTGCACACATCCTGTAACAGAAGCTGAAGCATTTCAGCTGGCAAAAATATGTTTTTAAGTGAAGTTCTTAATGTATTTTATTAACTGAATGGAGGTAAAGGAAAAAAGGAAGCTTTTAATTTGAGGTTAAGGGAAACATACAAAGCTTTATATTTCATAAATGTAAGGGTTTTGATGCAAAATGATCGTGTACTGAGTTGCTTCTCAGTCTGTTCATCATTTTTTCTTTTCTCCTTTGGCCCTTTTGATGTTCTGTTTTAGTTGTTTCTCTTCTATCCCTGATGATTTTGTTTATGTGTGTGTGTGTATACGCATGTGTGTCCACATACATATAAATATATATATATATCTTTATTTATCTGTCCTGCCCTGTCCCGTCAGCCCAACAGGTTAGGGAAACTGGCTGAGCAGGTAACTGTAGGATAAGAGTTGCTGTTTGCTCATTGGGCTGCTGCTAGGTCTGTGTGTGTCTGCGTCTGCGTCTGCGTCTGCGTCTGCGTGTTCATGTCTGTTGTTTATCTTGCATGATTTGTGAGCAAGCTTAACCTTAATTCTCTGACACACTTCAGCGTCATTTACCACCATTCATTTTAGCCGAGTCTTCCCTGTACAAGCTCGCTTGGACCATTGCTTTATGACAGGTTATATGTGATGTGCTGCTACATTATGCCAGGAGCTAGCTGCCATCATTGAGTTAATTTGGGAGTGCCATGTCAAACCATTGAAATGACATTTTTAGTAAAATGTTTTGACAATCCCAATATTCCAACTTTCATTTACAACATTTGACCACACTTAGATTTTGTGTTATTTGTAGTAGAATAATTAATTATTTAGCTATTTCTATAATGAATATTTTGTTAACTGTGGAATTAAATTCCCAAACAGTTTTGACTATTCAGTTGTATTGCATGAGCCAACTTGTTGAACAGGTCCATAAAAGTGGTGATTGATGCACCTTTGATTAGCTAGGCTAGACCGCTGGCTTAAATTTTTATGGCGAAGACTAATCTCTGGATTGAGGCTCGTTGAAGTTTTCCAAAGATGCTCTGCTGCTGAAAGCTGCTTGGCTCAACATGCCGGCTCATTAAACTGAATCAGCCCGCTCTGTATTTGGCTTTGACCCCCACAGATGACCATATTGCGACTCACTGCTAGCTTGTGCTCTGGCTATTCACTGGCAAAGGAGTGATGGAAAACATAATGTGCTGTGACTAGTCTTACAGAAATAATGATAACAAATCCCAAAGTAGAATGAATCAATATCTGGTCAATTAGAATTCAGGTGGCAGCACTATAGACATTTAATTCAAACAAATGGTGCTCAAGTGACATTAGTGTGCTTTTTTTGTAACAGAAAGTAAATATTTCTCGGAAATAAACTACAGTTCATTTCTAATTTCTTGTAGGCTTCTAATAACTGGTACTGTAGCTTTTCCCAACCTTCTTACACGTGTATGAAAACAAACTGGCAGCATCAGAGCAGGTCATTTTACTCTGCAGGTACTTAAAGTATGTGTGACATTATTGAGTTTTGCCAAAGAACCTAACTGTCATAGCCTGGCTAGTTAGCTTCTGGCTGCCCCCCCCCGCTTTGTCAACAGTTGTATCATAAGCAGCTTCCACTTCCCCTCCACTCAGGCAGCATACAGCATTGACATCAGGGCTGGAAGAGTTACATTACTGACTCATGTCCCACCCTGCTTGTTTTTCACCAGGGCACAGCTGGACCAGACCCCACCACTGTTTATGTGGACATGAGAGCTCTGCGACATGATAGGTAGGGGGCGCCACTGCAGCTATGTAGACCACAGGCTAGAAGGCATTAAATTACTGATTTTGTCCTTTTTATTTGCATATTTTTCAGGGTTCGCCTGGTAGAGAGAGGGTCTCCGCACAGCTTGCCACTGATGGAGTCCGGGAAGGTACGTCCTCATGTAAACATGCACTAAAACACTACAGACAACTGTGACTTCATGCTGCTTTTCTCAAGCTCTCATAATTATTTGAGATGTGGCTGTCTGCTGTTGTAGATCCTCCCTGGAGTGAAGGTGATCATTGCCAACACAGAGACTAAAGGACCCCTGGGAGACTCCCACCTGGGAGAGGTAACATCATCTGAGTTTTACAGAGCATACTTTCTTCACCGTCACCTGTTCCACCTGGTTATGAACCACAATCAAGTGTTTACATGCACTGAAGTTAAGAGGTCGGCTTTCTGCAGTAAACTGATCTCTTAAACGTCATATAAACAAGACACCAAATCACTGTAACTGGGGACGTAAGAGATTAGAACAACCTGGTTCCTCCAGGGAAGAGCCAGTTTGTTTGGCTGCATAACTGGCATAACCTGTTCTTAAGAGTAATACAATCCTATTTATTGGATACTACTCATCATACAGTAACCCACAAACAGGAAATGAAAGCCAGTCAGTACCTTAATTCTCCTTGTATATAGATGTTCAATAATGACATATACTAGATCTGTAACTTTGATCAAAATACTGACACATGTATAAGATCTTCGGTGTAACAGTTATCAATTGTCATTATTGTGTGTGTCATAGGTCTGGGTGAGCAGTCCTCACAATGCCACAGGCTACTACACAGTGTATGGTGAGGAGGCGTTGCATGCGGACCACTTCAACACAAAGCTCAGCTTCGGCGACACCCAGACTGTGTGGGCGAGGACGGGCTACCTGGGCTTTCTGCGGCGCACTGAGCTCACTGATGCCAGTGGAGGTGAGAATCATCAGTGCTCGCCCTACTTTAAAGACAGATATTTAAAGATCTGTTCTACCCCCTGCATTTCTCTCTAACATCACCATAAAACTTGATTTCTTTAACTTATCTGATACACACTGACAAATCTGCGATTGTGTGTGTATTTGTGTTTCTCAGAGCGCCATGACGCCCTCTACGTGGTGGGCTCTCTTGATGAGACTCTGGAGCTGAGGGGAATGAGGTATCACCCAATTGACATCGAGACCTCTGTTATCCGTTCTCACAAGAGCATAGCTGAATGGTAAGAAATTATAGATCACTACTTTATTACCAATCATTTCGAATGGTTCATTATGTAGTCAGACATTTGTCCATATTTGAAATAAAGTTGAGCAACATGAATTCTGATTACCGACTTCTGTCTTCACCCTCATGCTCACCTCCTTTTCCTCACCATTTGTCTTCCTTTCCTTCTTTCCTTCCCTCCATGCATCCACCACTTTCTCCTCCCTCCAGTGCGGTGTTCACTTGGACCAACCTCCTTGTGGTGGTTGTGGAGCTGGAGGGGTCTGAGCAGGAGGCCCTGGACCTGGTTGCTCTGGTCACCAACGTTGTCCTGGAGGAGCACTACCTCATCGTAGGGGTGGTGGTGGTGGTGGACCCTGGCGTCATCCCCATCAACTCCCGAGGGGAGAAGCAACGCATGCACCTCAGAGACGGATTCCTGGCTGACCAGCTGGACCCCATATATGTGGCTTACAACATGTGAGGGCCCTGCTGCAGGAGGGTTACCCCTCCATGTGGCTCATCACACAACAGGAGACAGCAGGACAGTAAATGTGGGGCCCGGTGTCAGTGCGGCTTCTGTTGAAAGACAGCGAGCTGGCCTCTTCTTTCAGCTCACAGAGTGGAAATATGAAAGAAACTCGGATGCAAAATTTCACAGCAAAATGGAGAGAAATTCCAAGAGAAATAAGATTGACACAAACCTCATGTCTGTTTCTCCCTGTAATTTCTTGCCTCAACAAATGTTTTAAAGGGCGTTTTGGTTTTGTTGAAGTGCGTTTTGTATGTACGATAGTGTCTGACTCCTTAAACCCAGTACACCCGATAGCAGTACAGCAGGTGGTAAGGTATAATCCTACACTGTGCCATTAACATAATTTACTTTGTCAGTCTCCAAAATGATGAATGTTAGTTGTGTTTGCCACACACGTGCCATAGAACAGGACTGACGCCAGTACCCTAATCAAACAAACCCTAATATGTTCACGTTCGCCTCCTCTGCCACTGCAGGTCAAATATTTTCCATAGAAGTCTCTAGTCTCTGTCATTAAATCTGTGGGAGCTTCTCTTCAGATTACGGCCGCACCCCAAAGTGAACTGGGCTGCAACTAACTATTATGTACATTGTCAATTAATCTGTCAATTATTTTCTCGATTAATCGATAGTTGTTTGGGCTATAAAATGTCAATCAGTGTGTCCCAAAGCCCAAGTTCACATCCTCGAGTGTCTTGTTTTGTCTACAACCCAAAAATATTCAGTTTACTGTCGAGGAGTAAAGAAACCTCAACATGTTCACATTTAAGAAGCTGTAATCAGATAATTTTTACACTTTTTTTCTCAAAAAAAAAAAAATACCATTACTCATCATTATTAAATTAGTTGGTGATTAATTCAATAGATGACCACTACTCAATTAATCGAATAATCGTTGCAGCTGTAAAGCGATCCCTGATTTTATGTGCTCCAGCTCTATTCAGATCATGTTATTGCATCAACAAAGAAGCACACAGCTGTGGTGTTGAAGGAGGGGCAGTACTTGTTTTTTGTTGCTGTTTCCAGCAGTAGTCCTTCAGTTTGTAGTGTCGGTAACAAAAACGTGTAGAAGTAATGTTGTGATTTGACTCGTTCTTTTTTTAAATCGAAAATGTGTAATATAGTTATTGTTTTAGCTGAACAAAATGCAATATGAGTGATGTGAAAGATGTTGCTCTGAATGACTGCAGACAGTAAGTGCCGATCAATCCAAGTCATGAGATATAATCGTTGCTTACTATTAGCAGCGTACCAAATGATATGAATTAAGCCTTAAGTGTTTCGTTTTTTAGATGCCTGTTCCTATCCCAACTCCTGTTCAGCTACATTTTGTGAAGTTTATCAGCTGTTGGATAGGCAGGGAACATGCAGAGGGAGGTTGGTATTGTAAATCCTGCTCTTCTTGCACCCAAAGTCTTTCATCTTTTTCAGCTAAGATGAATATACTTGATCCTGACATCAGCCATTACAAACACACACATGCTCCGTAAATATTTTTGATAATGTCTGTCCCTATTGTCAGTTGTGTTCAGTGTGTGTTTTATAACAACATACTGGAAGAACTTGTAGTTGGTATGGATTTGATGCAGAATGTCACAGCCTCATTTCGAATGCCATAAGGTTGAATGAGAGTTGAAAAATGTCGCATGTACTGTATGAGGCAAGTGTCTAATATGCGTGTAACACCTTAACCTCCCACCTTATCACATTGACTTTGTAAAGATTCACTTCACTGTATGTTGCTTCTCTGTGCACATCCCTTCAGAAACAGGCCCCGAGCCTGCTGTAAGTATGTACAGGTTTTGTGTAAATTATTAATTGATTGAGGAGACGACAGGAAGCATAACACATAAAGACTGAATGTGGTTTATATGTGAACTTCTCCCTCACAAACAAACTTATTTGAAATGTATTGTCATGTGTGGACATTGGGAGGAGACATGCAAAGCCTTGCAAACATTTTTTTAGTATGAAAGAACAGCGGGAACTGGCCACTTCCAGGATGAGACGAAGCACACTCCGAGCACAAGGAGAAGACAGTTACGCTCTGCTGACTGCTGAGGTGTCACATCCTCTGGAGCAAACTTTTGTTGTTGACATATAGAAAGATACATTTGTCTGATATATGGTTAGTTGTCATTATTTTCATAACCTGATTTCTTAATGAATAAAAAGTACTTTTAACTTGAAATGTTTGTCTTCACATCACTGAACATCTTGGTGTCCTGTCCTGTAAGAATATTTTAAGTAGTTGCATCAGTTCAAGCTTCCAAGCCTCTTGTAAAAACCACAGACTGTATGGTAAAAACCATGGAACGAGTCCTCCAGTGAGTCGTGGAGTCACGGTTTTCTCAGACATGTTAGTAAAAAAAGCAGACAGAGGACTGGATACTGTAAAAGTTTATAGACAGCAGAGATTACGACTAGATAAAATTACTTCAGAATAGAGCGTTGGTGACATTTATGAATATGGTTGAAACCAAGTTACGTTAACGTATTTAGTTGTTTCATGGGAGCTGTAGTTTTTCTTTGCTCACAAAGTAAATGTTGTCAACTTTGTTAAAATTACAAAGGTTTCACTCTCTTATAGCAACTGCTGCAGTGGATGCTGATTTGTCTTAAGACATGGAAAGTAAACACCAGGAACACACTATGTGTCCAGTACAAATGACTGAGTGGGATATTATCAGTCAAATAAAACCCTCATGAATGAAATCAACTAACCTTGCAGTAATAAGGTAGTTGCAATTGCGTTTTGGCAAGTGGAAAACTACCTGTAACTGCATTAATATATGTTATATTTGAAAATGTATAAAAGGAAATCTGAAGGAGTCCGTTTTAATGTCCGTTTTAAATCTATAATTTACAGGTGCTGTGCTTAAGTTTGTCAGTAGAGGAGACGCTGGATCATCAGACAACCAGTTAAAGCACAGACTCAGTTGAGTTAATATTCACTTACCCTATTTAATAAATATTGTTTGTTTACAACTGTTCTGTATATAGGTCTACTTAGTCTTAGACTGTTGGACTGTTTTAAAGGAGGGAGGATTGGAGGAGGAGTGGGAGCACTGTGTGGGGTGTTAGTCTTAAATAACATTACATTAACCTTACAAAAATACATGATAATTATACTTTTTTTTTCTAGTAAATGAAATGATTATCCCCTTCATTAATACATTTATGTTGTGAACATCAGTAATATCTCCTAGTATTAATATTTTAGTGATTTGAAAAATGATACGCCAACCTACAGATTTAGCATAATAATACACTATTGCAAAAATCTCATTCAAACAAAGGGTAGTTGCAACCCAATAAGAAAACAAAAACAAGCAATGGATTCGTCTTTTTCAGTATATTGAGCAAAAATTATAACAACGTCATACTGTGATTATATTGGTCCTCAGTGAGTAACTATAATGATAACAAACCATAAAAAGGTCATACAGTGATTATATTGATCCTCAGTAAGTAGTTATCAATGATAACAAACCACAACAAGGTCATACACAGTGATTATATTGGTCCTCAATGAGTAGTTATAAATGATAACAAACCATAACAAAGTCATACAGTGGTTATGTTGATTTTGAGTGAGTAATCATAAATGTTTACAACATTGCAAAAAAAGTTACAAGTTAAACAAAGTGGTACAATGTATATATTGATCCTCAGTGAGTAGTTATAAATGAAACAACATTGCAAAAAAACCTTCATATTTTAATTTTCATGCTTAAGTCATGCAGTTATTATACTGGTCCTCTGTTATAAATGTCTACAACATTGCAAAAAATACTTGGATATTAACATCAGAACAAATTCACAAAGCGATTTATAGATTGTTTTTCTAAAATCTTAAACTGACTCTGTCAATGTGATCTGTCTCCATGTTGTGTTTGTCTTGAATCCCTAATTCACATATGCCTCTACTTTAGTGAGAAGCTCAGTTGCCCCGGTCAGTGCTAACATTTCATTCTCTGATTTGAACCATCCATTTGGAATGTGGGGAGGCGGGTGGTAGTTGGGATACTGAGTCTTTTTGGCGTCCACTCCCAGCATCTTCAGATTTTCCACAATTTGAGGCAGAACTGTCAGTTGGAGATTGTAGAGGGAAACCTTTGCAGCCATGCCTGAAATGGAGCTACCGGGGGGACGTTGACCATGTCTTTTATACCCTGCAGCTATGAGAGACTTTTCCACTGCTTGGTGGACTTTGAACAGACACCACTCTGTGCTCCCCCCACCAGCTTCATTGTAAGCTGCATCGAGATCACAGCGCGCCTGTCTACACCAGCGCTGGGCCTCCTCTCTGTTTGGCTTCGGGACATTTTCATTATGGGTCCAGAAGTTGTAGGAATGGTGGCCTCTGGAGAATCTCTCTCGACCATATCTGTGATGCCTGGCCTCCTGATTCCATTTCTCATAGAAGTCGCTGAAATCTGAGTAGCTGAAATTTGAATTTCCCCTTGGAGAGGATGAACTTGCAGTTTTGCCTTTGCTGAGCTCTGCAATTTGATTCTGCAAGTATTTGAATGCCTCAGTGGCGAGAGATTGGCAGTCAGGGTTTTTGTCAGGATGCCATCTTAGGTACAGTCGCTTGATGGCTTTATGCCTCTCCTCCTTAGGAAGAGTCCAGATCTCTGCCAAACATTTGTCAATTTCCCTTTTAGCTTCGTCAATAGAGGCCGGGGAGGATCGTGTAGATGAGGAGCTTGTAGTTGGTCCTTGGGAAGAATGTGGCACAGATCCAGCTAGTGGCTCCAGCTCCATGCAAGAAGCTTCAGCAGATGTGCAAGTCCTCCTTTCCGGTTCTGACTTCTTTTGTCTTTTAAACTGATACAGGTCAACACAACTGACTTCAATTGGCTCCTCTTCTCCAATTTCAATTTTGTATCTCCGAGAATATTGTCCAGAGTACCCAGGCAGTTCTTCAACAATAACTGCATAGATGTACTTGTTGTTGATGCTGTAGCCAACATATTCCCCTTCTTCAAAGTTATTGAGGATGTTCATGTCTAAGGAATCATGCCATTCTTCTGGAATATCTGTCCCAGGGAGTGGGGGATTGAGGAGCAAGCTTTCAGTTTCAGCACTGTCATGGATCCCATTCTTAGCCAGAGCTTTCTGAACGTCTTGCAGACTGTCACACGTGAGAAGTTGTCCAAGGACTGGGAGGTAAATTGATGCAATTCTGTGACCTAAAAGAGCATTAATCTCCTTTGTCAATGTCATATTGACTTCATTTATCACCTTATGAGCCATGTCATCGTTGTGTTTTAAGTAAAAGATGCAACCCTGTTGCTCTCGTTTGACAAAAACATCAGTTTCAGTGGCAGTTTTGTGTAGTGGCTGGTTATCCAGCCAGAGCTTCGTTTTCAGGCTTTTGCAGCAAACAATCTCAATACTGCCAAATGTCTTCTTGCACATGTCAGCAGCATCATTTTGCGTTATTTCTCCATGAGACTGCTCTCTGATAAGACAAATTAGTCCGTGTGTAAACGCTGCTGAGGACAGATGTTTTTCAAACCATCCACTAAATTCACAGTCAGACTCAAACTCACAAAGCTGCATGTGTACTTCCACTAGTTTCTCTTCAGTGATTTGAGACAACATTTTAGGTTGTAATTTCTGAGGCAGCAATTGCAGCAACCGATGATGCTCATAGATGTCGCTGCCCAAATGACATTCACTGAGTTTCTCAAGCAACAGGAACTTGTTCTTCAGTGCTTCTTCTAACCTACTGGTCTCAAACACTGTGTCATTGTAGTAGAGTTTGCATGAGGGGTATAATTTACCATCTACAGCAGGAAGATGCAAAGTCTGTACATCATCAAGAAGAGACTGTTTTCCCTCCTTCCCTTTGATTAACTGAAAAAACTGCTGAACAGCACGTTTCACAGTTTTCTGTTGGTTTGGGTTTAGTTGTGGTTTATCACAGGAATCGGCATAAACTGCAGTCAGAACATTACAATACTGCACTGCAGTAGGTTTGTCCTTTACACCAATTTTCTTTAGGAACTCTGCAAAGATGACATCCTGCGGAGAAATTGTGTACAAATATGGTCTGAAGTCACGGTCACAGGGGAGTGAAAGAGACGCTTCATCAGTCCTCACAAGCTCTGTGTCTTTTTCAACCAACACAACAGGAAGACCAGCCAGTGGTTGGCCTTCAAACCCGTTTGCTTGCAGGTAGGCATACGAACTTCGAAACACATCAGCACGGGTTTTGATCAACTGGTCAGTTTTACAGGGCGACTGACAGATGTTGCTCATGTTACTGGTTACACAGTGTGGAGGTGGTTGTTCATGAGCTCCTGCATCTTTCATCATTTGTAGGAGCTTCGGTGACTTATAAACTGGTAGATGTATAATTGGCATTGAAGACCAGATCAGTTCTTGATGCTTAGAATCGCTTTCTATCAAAGATCCTCTGATTTTAACAGCAGTTCTCTCAACAGCAAATGGTTGGTGATAGTTGCTCAGTTCTTTTTGAATTTTCACAGGAAAAATGAACTTAATGTCAGCTATGCTCTCCAGCAACTTTTCCTCTTTATTTTTGTCTTTTGACAAGGCTGCTTGGAAAAGTGTTGATGATTTCAGTTTCAGGTCTTCAAATTTAAAGTTTCCTTTTGCTTCCAATTCTAACTGGTGTGCAAACTTGATTATGTCATCTTTTGACACAACGTGATTCATTCCAAGTTCTCTGAGTAACTCTTTTAGGCAATTTGTTGTTAGTTGATCTCCTTCACACAACGCAGTCCAAAATCTCTTAGGCACAAATCTCTCTTGGGGCAACATTTTCCTGTATAGCTCGACACTCTCATCAAAGTAATATGATGCCGTCTCCAATCTGCCTTGAGAACTGCGAATCAGTTTCACTGTCTTCATTGAGGTGATGATTTTGTCCTTATACTGAAAATAATTCAAATGCAGTAACAGTCTGAGGCAGTGAAGCATCTGCGTCTCTGTAAGTTTGTGCACAACGGGCAGAATGAACTTCATGAAATATTCTATATCAGTCAGGATTTTGATGTTCAATGTTTCTGACAGACTGTAGTTCTCTGAATTGTTTTTGAGAAAAATGCTGTTGCCGTCAGGCAGGTTGAACAAATCTGGAAATGTTATTGAATATTCGGTGTTGAGGATAAATACCTCTTTAGGTCCATCAATCCTCACTCGGTTACCATGTAT